TTAACCAGCTCGAAGGAGACTTCACCCCAAGGGGAAGTTTGATAACGAGATCGAGGAAGTGCAGGACCTTTAGTGTCACACAGGAAAGATAAATTAGCTTTGAGGCTTGTGCATATACCACCCCTTTATGGCCATATTCTCGTGGTCAGAGGGAATTATGTCAGGCATATCGATCCTCCCTTTGCAGAGGGTGTGTGACATGTGTAGGTGCCTGTATGTTTTTTCCCCTAATCGTCACGATTATGATCGTAGACGCAGTGTGTTCAGGTGATTAGGGCACTTGGCTTGGAATATGGTGGTGTTGGGTTCAAGTTATGAGGTTGAAAAACTTGACATCTACAGTTCAAATTCCCCACCCGCCTGGATACGAACGACGGTCATATGCCCGTGGATTGTCCGGCGCAAAATTAGTTACTACAAATCAGAATTTTAAGGCAAGCCACCATTCGATGTTCGTAGATTAAATCACACACTGGATTTTGTTCGGCCGCGAAAAAATTATACATTTCTAAGCTAGCTCGAACGCTTTTTACTAATTCCCGATTGTTACTAATGTAAGAGTAATAATTTTCGATTCCGCCATCATGTTTTTGTTATGTTTGCTTTGATTGATCTCTCGTGACACAAAGAAAGGTAATACAATGCTAAAAGATAAAGATAAAGGGAAAGAGAAAAAATGCAGGAAGTTTTACCTTTTTTTATATCGTATTTATTTATTGATTGATTTATTTTTTGATCTGTGGATGCACTCCCGTCCAACAATGAAATGATAGAATTTCGCTGGAAACGGAAAACTGGGTCTAAATATTGGATGAATAATTACGAGAGAGGCAACTGGTCCCAGTTATTATACAAAAGTATGATTAGCTTAGTTTACTTACTTTGGATCCTTATTTCAAATGATTTCCTTGTGCAGTGTTTTGCGTAACCATTGCCCGCTTGGCAAGTGTAGCGGCCAAATTTGTCACCTGTCAAATTTTTAAGCACTAATGGGCACCTTAATTTAAGTTTATGAGCATGTATGTTAGAGGGCTGTGGCCAATTTGCTCCAACTTGTCTACCCTGTGGATCGTACCACTCGACATAATCGACCCATCTATCCAGGTATCCAGAGTCAATCCCTCTGGGCTTCGCTGTACATTTCAGGGTTTTTGAGGCACCAATGGGTAATCTGTTGTTTTCTGGACTTGAAGAGATGTCGACAACGGGTCTAACTGGGTTAGAGAGATTGATGATGAATTGTTATAGCAAAAAACGTATAATACACAATATTTTTCCGGCCTGTCTACGATGATAAAGATTATAATCAAATCTACTTCATTTATATACGTAGTGAAGCTCAGAAACTCTTGACTATTCAAGCTTATTAATGCAGCTTTCCTAATGTTGATCTTTAACTTGTATAGGCCCGAAGGCCAAGACGTCATGTAAAAATATTTAAAGGCTGGATCAGTCAAGAGTTTATCTTCTCTCTTTTTCATCTACTTATACAAAAAATTTGAAAGAAGATGCTTGTATTCTCTGAGTCCTCCTACAAGGAGCTGTTCGTTTGGGGTAGCCATTTTGCACTTTTTGTACATATACATATTTAGGCAGTGGCGGATCCAGGAGGAAGGTCCGGGCGGTCCGGATTCCTCCCCTCCCCCCATCAGACCTGACGCTTACAGTTTTGAGACTGAAATTCTGACATCGACGGGATCGTAGATAAATTTTTAACTGGCTGATTTTTTTAATGAATCCCAGTAAACGGTAATCGGCCAAGGAATTATAACGTGCAACCGTGACTAGTGAGAGGGGTTGCGTGGGGGATGTGGGAAAGAAGTAATCTGCCTCAAAAGAGTCCAACAGTCCTTTCTGAACGAAAGTTTGGACCCTCCCAATGAAAAATTCCTGGATCCGCCCATGTTTAAATACATTAATAAATGCTGCAAAAACATCTGCATATACATGCCCTTAGAGCGGGACGTTAAACTCCTTACTTTTCAAGTCGGAATTGCATGTTTCGCCTCTGACGATTGGCAGATTCCATAAAGCGCCGGTATGAATTAATAGTGCTAGACACGTTGACGCTTCTCGAAGCCACAAATTAGTCATCATGACACGTTGACAAGTTTGGAGTTGCCTGTAGACGAGACTGTTGACTCAAAATTAGTTCATTTCCAGAAGGGGTTAGTACATTGAGGCGATAAGTCGAACAAGGGTATCATCAACTTATTGTATGTAAATTTAGTATACACACTCAGGTAGTCACGAGAGAGAAAATGGAAAAGGTGATGATATACAAATTTGGCGATTTTACACAAAGTAATTGCTAAAACATACTGAACTTAGCCAAAAAAACTCGTTATCTTTTTTTATCTCCATACAGTTTTGTCTCGTGGTGGTATTAATTCTGTCTCTTAATCAATTATTCAGCCACCTATTTTGCCTGTAATTTCTTCAGGTTATATTTCGTGCATTTATTTTACCTTAGCTCGTAATAAAGCTATACAAATCTATGGATTGCCGCACACTTTAGCCTCATCCAAGACTATGGTGATTGGACATTAGGGAAACAGTCACGAATAAACAATAGCGAAAATTCAAAAATGGCACCAACTCTTTCCACCAAATAGTATAAAAGCTATGATCTCACCAGTTGTCTCAATACAACCGCGCGTTAACGCATCACATATAGAATATAACCTAATAACATTACGTCCTGTAGCAAACCATTTTGTTTAATAACAAATCATATAGTTCTACATATCCGTTTGAAAAATATTTTATATCATATAGGTCTAGGTCGCCGAGCCGCTCTTTACGACACCACGATCGAAAGACATCTTCCCTATTTTTAATTTTTTTTTATTGAGTAATGACTTTTTTGGCAGCGAAAATGCCAAGGAATCACCAATGTGTGGAAAATGGCTACACTTGCCTTAGCGTTTAGCAGTAAGATATAACAACATACCATTCATTGGAAGGTAGTGGAACTAATCATTGGTTGTCCTACAAAACGTGGTCCGATAGAAAATGTAAGCACTTTACCGACTCAAAAGTCATTTTTTTAATAAACTTATTGTATATAATAGAAAACGAGTCAGCGGATGTTGTATGGGGAAAATTATGGTTGGAGCGAAAAGTTCCTGTTGAGCCAATAGTTTGACAAGATAAAAGATTATTTTCGCAAAGCCTGTTTTAGGATCCAGTGGATTAGAGAAAAGAGATAGGGAGATGTGCGTGTACGCTGAATAGCAATTTGTGCGGGGGAAAGCTATTTGCGTGCAGAGTGATCGTAAACAATTGAAACCAGCTGTCCAGCTGTGTTTCTCCCAATTTCTTATTTATTATTTAAACTCAGTTTTCCGATTAGGGCGAAATTCGGTACTTTCATTGTTGAACGGGAGTCGAACTAGGGTCTCATCAACCTATCTTATACAAGTTTACACTTACGAGAGGGAAAATGGAAAAGGTGATAAGTTACAAATTTGGCGATTTCGCACAAAGCAATTGCTCAAACATACTGAACTTAGCCAAAAGAAATTCCTTACTTTTTTTCTTTTTTTTTTTTCTTTTTATCTCCATACAGTTTCATCTCAATGCAGTATTCATTTTTCCTCTCAATTAGTCACTCAGCAACATATTTTGCATGTAACTTCATTTCGCTTGGTCGAAATCCTTATCATTACCCAAAAAATATTTACAACACTGACAGCGACGAAGTTCGAAATGGAAACAACAGTCGATAACTCGGATTCGCTGGAACATATCATTTGTGTACAGCTGAAGTTTAGTTGCAGGAATATCTACTAGAAAATTCAAATTTGATAAAGCTTAGACATTGCTTTCGTTTTAGCTTGATTCAGATGGTTGTTTTGTTTCGAAACAGTGTTTAGTTTACTTGTCATTTAGATTTTTTATGAATTCGCGAACCTTGTATTTCCTGCAACAGGTATTTTAACACTTATTGACATTCCTTTATGCAGCCTTTTTATTCAAATATCCAAGGAACGAAATATGCTTAATACGAGGTTCAAAATGTTAATGTAAACTTGCAGACTCAAAATCAAGCGAGTGGGTGATCCCAGTTCCTCCTTCTGACTTTGACGCCCGATAGAGTTGTCTGAAACTCATTCACTATCAATGACAGCAGTTTTTTCCGGCGGTCTAAGCCATGACTGTCAATCCAAAAATAAGTGCTGTGTTCCGGTACGGGTAAATTATTTTTGGCAAGCTTAAAAGATTCAGATTAACATAGGATTGACTACGTCAAGAAAGACTACTTGTTATTTTTAGCTTATTAAGCGGCAAAAGGTCACGAAAAAGAATTGTCTCCCAATATCTTTGACATCTATTATCATTTGGAGGCGAATACATTTTGATCTCGTTTAATTGCATAAGCTTCAGTAAGTGAACTAAAGAAATATGAGAAAGGACTCGTTCATGAATGTAAGACAGTCATTGGAATTTCAAAGATTCCGCTGTCCACAAATTGAGATTAAAGAACTGAATATTGTATAACCCGGCTATCCGGCAAAATAGAGATAGGAATTATCGAAATATTTTTTTTACACGAGTTGCCTCGTCTGAAACGCTATATTCTGGCGTGGACGGTAAACTTCAGAGTGATCATTCGTTTGTGGTTATTGTTTTATAAGCCAGAAGTTGACCTCTTCGGTTTTTTATCCATGATATACATGCTTTCGTTTGGGGATATTATCACCGAAAAGACAATGGGAGTTGATAGAATCATTTTTGTGTATTTTCCAAATAGTTCATCTATTGCAAGAAGAGCCAATTTGTTTTTTTAGGACGCTAGCTTACGTCATTTTCCATGGCAAATTTTTCTTTTTCGGTAAACGAATGACGACGACAAAAAATGATAGTTCGAATTTAGTGGGTTAACGTAACAGACTCTGATACAATGAATATATGAAGTTCATATATTCGTGTATCAAACGTAACAGACTCTAGTAGAGTATTAGTTAAATTAAGAAAAGTCATAATTGCAAGGCAAAATGTCAGTTTTTTTTTACCTGTGCAGCAACTTATTGTAAAAAAGAACATAATTTTAGTAATTAGAAAATGTGTCATTTTTTCCCTACCCGTGCAATAACTTATTGTTAAAAATATCCCAAGGTTTACATGCAGCGTTAATTCTTAGTCATTAGACTAAAAGGTTTCATCCAGATGCAAGCGATCAAATGTACCTTAATGGCGAGCTGGCGGAGAACAAAATAGGCCGATCGTATTTCAGTTTCCTTTTATATTTATACGAGCTGGTAAAGACAGCTGGCATCATAAGTTATGAGGTAAGTCTATCTGTTTATGAATACGGAGAAATTTGGGAAGCTGAAATTTGTATTGACACGTTCTGCATCAAGTTCATATTTCGTACAACTATTTTACTTCAGCTGGTAATAAAGGTATACAAATCCATGGATTGCCTCAAATCTTAGCCCCATTCAAGACTCTAGCTGACGATGGGACATTAGGGAAACAGTCACGAATAAACGTTCGCGAAAATTCAGAATGTATGAATATTATGTTCAAGATAAAAAAATGGCACCGACATTTTCCGCCAAAAATTATACAAGCTATGAATTAACTAGTTGTCTCAAAATAACTGTGCTCCAACGAATAGCATATGAATTGTAAACTGACAATATAACGTCTTGTAGCAAACATTTTTGTTTCGTAATAAATTCTATCGTTCTAAATATCCTTTTTGAAAAGTAGCCTTATTGCATATTGGTCTACGTCTCCGCTTTTTACGACACCACCAGCGAAAAACACATCTTCCGTATCTTTAATTTTTATTTATTTATTCAAACAATAACACTTTTTGGCAGCGAAAATGAAAAGGTAATCGCCAATGTGTGGATGGAAAATGGATACACTTACCTTAAGGTTTATCTGTGAGACTCAACAACATACCACTCATGGAATCGAAAGGTAGGGGAATTAAGCATAGGTTGTCATACAAAACCGTCATGGGACAGGACACAGTAACAAAGAATTGTTTTCAAAAGTCATTTTTTATTAATAGAAAACGAGGCAGCAGATGTTGTATGAGGAAAATGACAGTTGGAGCCAACAGTTTAACAAGATCAAAGATTATGTTCGCAGTGCCTGTTTCTCATCGAATTGTAAAATGCTGCCGTCAACCAATTTGTAAATTAGTGTCCCGTGGACTAGAGAAAAGAGACAGGAAGATGCGCGTGTACGTTGTGGAGCGAATTGTGCGGGGAAAGTTCTTTGCAAGTAGGATGATCTGATCGTAAACAGCTGGGACAAGTTGTGTTTCTCCCAATATTTTATTTATCATTTAAACTGAGTTCTCCATTTAGGGCGAGATTCTGCAATTTCATTGTCGAACGTGACGTCATCTAGAGTTCCGATAGACATCATTTATATAAAGGTTTAAAACTTACTATTTTCCCTTTCCTTTATTTTTCTATTGATATCGTAATTTCATTTTTATTCTGACGCGAAGAAAATAGAAGCGAACAAAAACCCTGAGGGCAGAATTGACACATTCGAAGAGGGAGAGAAGCACGTAAATTTAGTTTTCTTTTTATTGATATTTAGTCTAGATATATTAATGGATTAGTAAAGCGCGTTCGATCTAGCTTAGAAATTAACTCAATTTGCAGCGATCAATTCGAAGCTTCAGCACAACCCCCCCCCCCCTTCCAAGGCGTTGTGTTTTAGGCAGTACAAGATAGTGTCAAATTAGAACGCTGAGACAGTTTGGCCCCTGATCGATACCCGCAGGTTACCAAAAACCTCTCGAGACTGAAAAACGATATGAGTAGTACGCGTTCTCCTTCGTTGAACGCAATATATTTATCACTGTTTTCATTATTACTATTTTTGAACATTTCGCGGTGTTCCATCTTGTTCAAGCATACTTTTATGAAGGGTGAATAGGTTCAAAAATGTCATTTGATGATTATCGGATTTATCGGGCCGTGTCGTCGTGTTATCGCGTCGTACCGCAGTGTTATAGGGTGTTGTCGTCGTTTTATTGGGCCATGTCGTCATTTTATCGTGTCGTGTCGTCAATTTATTCGGTGTTGTCGTCGTTTTATTGGGCAATGTCGTAATTTTATCGGGTTGCGTCGTCAGTTTATTCGGTCAAGTCGTCGTTTTATCGGGCTTTCCGGCTTCAGTCGTTTCATCGGGTCATGTCGTCATTTTATTGGGTCGTGTCGTCAATTTATTCAGTCATGTCGTTTTATCGGGTTATGTCATTTTATCGGGCTATGCGCCTTCAGAACGTCTTAACTGCGGTCGCTCCAAAAAGATTAGTACACAGGCTCTCACGACACATACTGTCAAAGTACAAGATGGAAGCGTCGATGGAAGCCCTACGGTTGTATGGAAAAAGGTTTCTTCTCGATTTAGTCTCGCAATTGGAGAGGCACAGCGTTGGACGAGATCAGTTAGAAAGCGTAAAATTTCGTCTCAATTGGTTTTTAGGCGTTTTGAGTCGATATACACAAGCCAAACTAGATGTTGACATTCCTGTGAATTATGTTATAGAAAAGCTCCGATATGCACAGAACATCACATTACAGCTCGATAAAGACGTTTATTCGGGTTAAAAACCAGAAAAAGTATATTCTGGATGCAAAGGAAGACCAAGTTGTGATATTCCTAAAGAGCAGCCTGAGATGTTTTTGGAATACAACTTTTCAGTTCCCCAAATTGCTGAAATGCTAGGAGTAAGCCTCAGTACAATTAAGCGAAGATTTCGAGATTATGATCTTTCAGTTTCTCGAACCTACTCTGCTATTGGCGATAATGAAGTTGATGAAGTAATACAGCAGTTAGTATCCGAATTTCCGAATTGCGGATACAGGAGGATGACTGCTTTTTTGCGTGGAAGGGGGATACATGTACAATAATTCCGTTTTTCATAAGTGGAATCTAAAGATGGCCTGGCTTTGGTGTCAACAGATGCAGTTTGTCCTTCAGCACCAATCTTCTTGCAATTAAAAGATTCAATGAAATATATGTTTATAATGGGGGAATTGATAATTATTTAGTGATAATATTTGAGACATTACAGCCTCAAATAAATATGCATGACAAAATGATAACCTGCTAATTATTGCATGTTCATAATTGACAAATACCTCACTTGCAGAAATTAAATCAATATGAGATGGGCCTGCTTGAAAAAAGGATCTGACAGTTCATCACCACAATCCTACCAATAAAAGCAGCAACATTTTTTCTCACAATGTTGGAAGTGAATTCAATAAACCTGCGAATTACAAAGTAGTAGTCACTTTTTATTAGTTAACATCTGCTATGAAATCGTGTGTTGCATTCTACCTAGCAATACCCAAGTATATTGTGGTCACTATATTTTTGCATATTCCATGGTATAATTAGCATTACTTTTTCATATGTACACTAATAGTCACTTTACATGCATCTAAGAAAACTGTTTTGAAGTGCTTTGTAGAACTCAAATGCATGGGCAGAAATGTAATCACGTCCTGACTTTAATTTCAACAATAGCTTTGACAAATACCATAAGTGTAGATTCTTTGCACTCCTTCTCCTTATGGACCCTAAGGTGACCATAATTCACTTTCTGGCCACATGACATGCATTCAACAGTCGGGCAATCCTTGTCTCCTACAAACTGTGTATAGAAGATATATCGCAACAAACAAAAATCTACAAATTATTTATGAGATGAAACCCAGTGTAAAAATAGCAATGCTATAGATGGCACAGTGATATATAATATTATGTAATAATTTGGAGTAACTCGCACGCTAGCATAACTTACATTCTTAAAACTATGAATAACAATAAAACTACTGTAAGTACAGAAGTAATTTACTGTGATGGTATAAACTGTATTATGTCACAAATGAAAGTACTGTAAAAAGGTGTCGAAGGTGAGGGACCATTTTTCACCAGGGGGGTGCTGGTGGGATTTATGGGGTGTTTAAGAAATACTGGAAAAAAGCAAGTTGACTCCATCCCACTTTGCAAGTCCCTTTCACAAAACAAATCAACCCTTCCCGCTCCCTGCACTCTTCTTCTCATGACAAAATAGTTCCTTCAATTAAAAATTAATTACAAAAAACATTCGAACACAGTACCAGACTAGTGGATTGTGAGCTGAGGTCTAAGTCCTGTTGCAAAGGTCTTACATAGGTGACTGCTTGACCAACACACACTGTGCATCTCAGGTAAGGACTGGAATAGCCATCTGGGCCAGTTGGAATAGTTTCCAGTTTCCTTTGTCCTCCACCACCTCCAACAGCATAAAGCAGCTCCAAACCTCCTCCATCTTTAAGTTTAGGGCATGCCTTTTCAAGGGCTACAATGAATTCTTCATGATTTGCCTTGTTATTTCCAAATACCACCTTTTTCCTCCACAAGCCAGCCTTCTGGAGATCCAGTAAATTATTCTTTGTAGGGGTTTGATCGTCAATTACTCCACCAAGAATACAAAAATGAGTCCAACTTTCCTTAGCTTTGAAATAAGGCATGTATCTCGTTTATGCTTTCCCCTCCCTTTTTCTGGTGCCGGATGGCGTTGCTGACTTCTTCCAGATGGGAAGGCACGTCTTGCAAAATATCCAAAAAAGTTGATTTAGCAGAAAGACCATATAAATCACAAGATATTTTTGTAAAAGAAGATAAAATAATCAAAGTATAAAACGCATGTTACCTGAAGTTTTCTTTAGCTCCTGTCTGAAAATCACTGTCTTTACTTTGTACAGAGCCAGAGGAATTAAAATTTAAACTTGATGAGCTGATTGATGAACTTCCATGGGATGATCTTAGGCGATCAAGTTCATCAATCGCCGACTTCATGATGGCCTTTACGTCATTTTTTAAGCTCTTGCCCTTGTCGTTCCCCTTGTCCATTTTGACAAGACAAATACCCGCGCGAAACGAGCGAAACCCAAAAAAGGGTAGAGAACGATAAACGAATGTGAGGCCCTCTGTGAGAAGATGAGAACCTGTGTACTAATCTTTTGGGTGCGACTGCAGTTAAGGCGTTCTGAAGCCGCAAAGCCCGATAAAACGACGACATGACCGAATAAATTGACGCCACGACCCGATAAAATGACGACATGGCCCAATAAAACGACGACAACACCCAATAACACTGCGGTACGACGCGATAACACGACGACACGGCCCGATAAACCCGATAATCACCAAATGACATTTTTGAACTTATTCACCCTTCATATACTCTAGCATGTTTTCCCATGTTCTGGCATTTTCCGGTATGTTCCGGTGTTTCGGCTTCTGATGTTTCGGCGTTGTGTTGTTCCGGTGTCCCGGCGTATTCCGGTGTGTTCAAGCGTTACTAGTTTTATAGTTCTGTTAGTCAGTACATACCATTCTATAAGCAATATGAGCAGTTTTTTGGGTTTTATGATGAGTTTTAGATTTTTCAACCCAATGAAGCCTTCACCGAAACTTTTCTCATTCCGGGCATCAAATTGACGTTCACTTATAAACAAATGTCGGCAAGCACTTTGTGAAGAAATTAAAGGCTCTTCAGTGTCAACGCTCTCGAAAACAAAACTCAGCGGACTACAAGGTATAAGTTGTGCGGAGTCTTAATAAGGCGCCCTGTTAAACGGCGTGTACTTAAGGCAGGAACACAGTACACCGCCTTACTGTTTGTTTGTATGCATTTGCTTTTTTTTATTTTATTGCTTTGTTGAAATCTTACTGGTTTTAGTACACGCCATGAGAAACAGCCAAGGCTTCACAGCACAGAGCGCGGTTTATCCTCTAATGATGAGATTTATTCTCGTTTTCAAATGTCTTTGGTCATTTGAAAAAGAAACAGGCCAGCAATGAAACAAGGCAACAGAAACTTGATGAGCAGACAAGAAACACTGCAATGAAGAAACCTTGCACCTTTGATGGTAAAGCACAACTAGCGGCTGGATTAAATTGAATTGCATGGTAAGTAAGCAGAAGCCAATGAGCTGATATTTTTATCTTATAACAACCTAAGGTCAATTTACAAAACGTAACGTAAGCAATCCGTCAGAAAGCTCATTAAACATGTCTGTTTCTTTAAGACGATATCAGAAAGGGTAAGAATCGATACGGTGTTCACATATTTACTTCAGATAAATCAAAACGCGCCTGGGCTGCTAGTCGGTCATAACCAGAATTTTCTCTTCGAGNATACCACGTATGAGGGAGTAGTGAAATTAGTGATAGGAAATCCAAGAGAATATTGTGCATGCAAACCTGAGTTAAAAATAAACTGTCATACGAAACGACATTTTATTAATCATCGAATACAACTTAGCAGATGTCATATGAGGAAAGTGAGGGTTGGAGTGACAAGTCTCAAGTAATGAGCCAAACTTAAACAAGAACGAGGATCATGTTTGCAAGGCCTGTCTCTCGGAAGCAAATTGTAGAATACTAATGTTAACTAATTCATAGACTGGTATGTTGTGGATAAGAGTGACAAACAGAAAGATGTACGTACACGCGGAGGAGCGATGTGTGCGTGGGAAATCGCTTTGCGCGTAGGATAACTGCACGCAACAAGAACACCTGTGTTTCTTTCAATGTTTTATTCTATATTAACACTCAGTCACGACAGCGATGAACTTTTTCCTTAGACTTCGATAGGACAACCGTTGAGTAGATCACACTTCAGCTCATCTCTCGCTATTTCTCCAAAAACTGCGTTTGAATTTGACGGTTTTTCGCTTTGCAAAGTTATATGCTGTGATGAGTGTTTTCTCACGTGAAGTCCATTAACACAGCCTTACAGTATTGGAGAAACTGTTAGTGACAGACTTTCCTAAGAATTGTAAGCGATGAGCAAAAGAAGGTATTTTGGCAGCGCTGGGATTACCGAAAAGCAAACAAACAAACAAACCAACGAACTAGCGGAAAGTGACGTCTAAGTGTGGGCCTGTATTGGGAAGGATCACACATTAATGGCAAGCCAATTTAAAACCTAATAAAAATGTAAGAAAACGGGGTAAAGAAGCGCCTCAACGTGGATTAATTGGTTAAACTAATTTGCATTCAGTCGCTAAATTGTACCCTACGGATCGACTAGCTTCAGTTCGCTAAATACTTCTTGTCAAATTAAAGCCTTGTGTAGCCAGCAAAAGACCTCTACAGCAGCCGTTTTTCCTTTAAGCGGCAAATGAAAGTTTCACCTCTTTTAAGTACACCAACAAAATTGTGATACTTACATCAACATAAATGCTAAGAATCCATGCCAACCTCTCTCGCGCGGAGGTCAAATGGAAATGAGCTCGAGCATGCAGCGTGCACCGCGGCCGTAGGCCGCACCCCACCTGAAACCTATCCAAGCTTCTGATCGCTATCAACCGCTTTGAAGGCTTCACCAAACCTATCCGTATCCTTGGGAATAAAATTGGTTTTCAGCTGTCGAAGTAGCGCTCATTTCATTTACAAGCAAATATTGGCAAAGGAAGCCACGTCGACAACTTCCCCCTCAAACAAAGGTCAGTGATTTACGTGATACATATGCTGTGCCTATATTTCACAGCGCAACTTACGATTTATCTCGACGAGATGTACTCTGATTTTCAAGATATCTTTGGTTACACACTTTCAAAACACAAACAGACAATCAACAAAACGAACAAACATTATAAAGAAAAAGAGACAAGAAACACGGTAAATCAAGCAACCCAGCAAGTATAACTTGCAGCGATTTTAAAAAAGCTTACTAAGCGGACTTCATCATTAACATTGAAAGATGTGCCTTTCTCCGCCCGAGGGAAGATTTGACTCGATCGAGTTGGGAAAAGATTTGCGTGAGTCTGCCTTAAGTTGAACAAAGACAAAAATTAAAAGCACACAATCAATGACCTTAACCTACAAAATATATTGTACATTGCTTCTTTTGTGGCGAGCATGTTCCTTCAAGATTTAATTACGTTTAATTTTGTTTTTTTCAAATTAGATGTTACGAGAATGTACTATTTTACGAAAAGGAGTTTAGTTCCATTTCATCCGTCCTCTGGTATTGTTTTTGCGTACTTCTGAGGCGATATTAACCGTACCGCTTTATTACGATCGTTTTCTTTGAAGAAAACAATCTCTCGTCAAAACATTTGTATGAAAAACGAGAAAAGAACCTCGTATAAATAAACTTTAACGGGAGCTTATCATTTTTTTACGGTGGCCCACAAGTGCACGCCGAATTCTAAATCTCCACGCCGAATTCTAAATCTCCTCACCGAATTCTAAATCTCCACACCGAATTCTAAATCTCCACGCCGAATTCTAAATCTCCACACCAAATTCTAAATCTCTACAC